CACACAAGAGTGAAACAGGAAAAACGACGGTGGGGCAGGGAGGGGGGGGTGGGCGAGAAAATTGTGGAAAATGCAAAATTAGCATGAATACGAAATACAAGTTAAATATTTGAGCAGCCCCCAAAGGTGTTTTCCCCAGTCCTGAGCGAGAGACAGAGAGAGAGAGGGAGAGAGAGGGGATGTCTGGAGGCAATCATAGGAATTGCATTTACCGTTAAAGCAAATGGTACCTGCTGAAAAAGTGGGGTGTGGACCAGTGTGGGGGTGGGTCACCCAATGAAATATTCTGCTGAAAATGCAGAAACGTTACCGATAAAGATTTGCTTTAATTGCAAACGATTACTTTGAGCAGGGGGCAAATCCGAAGGTTCACGCAGGAGCGTATCCGGAACGAAAGCCAAGACTAAGTTCTGCCTTGACTGGGTTTTCCTGGACCTACCGATCGACCCAACGAAGCTCATCGAGACTCCATGGCTCTGGCTGAAGAACATCTTTACAACATTTTCCAATCGGGCCTGCCGTTGAACAAACAAAGTTCTGATAACGTTTTTAGAGCAAATAAAACAGAGCTCTCCGGCGCAGTAAAGAAATAAACGATAGCTAATATTTGATTTATTTACAATTGTATTTACATTCGCCCGCTGCATTTTGTGTTTTACAATCGCCGTGTTTTCTTTTCGTTTGCCTTTGATTTGCTTTAATGCCCTCCCTCTGTCCCTCTCGCACCCTCTGTTCGACCTTATCAGCAGACTTTGACTTTGGGGACATGTAAATAATTTATATTATACGAGTGTTGGAGTAGACCCTGTTATGTGTGTAATTTATGAGCACTGGAGAGGGGGAGGGAGAGTGAGAGGGAGAGGGGAACACTGAGCGAGGGAGAGAGGTGTTATATGGCCGGCCTCTTATCAATGTGTGGAAGATAGTTGGTTGGGGGTGGGACTGTACCCCCACTGGAATTAGTATTATGTATGAGCTGACTTCCCCAGAGATCAATGTTTGGCAGAGCCTAACCTCACATTTCACATTTCTAGTATCTTAAAGATCCGACCCCACACCTCCACCTACACCATCGTAGAGCCTATACAATGTTGTAGCAAGGTTTTTACCTTTACTTAACCTTATTTCGCTACGTTTTCTTTTCGTTTTTGTTCGTTTTTCGTGTCGTTTCGTTTCGTTTCGTTTCGTGCCGTTTCGTGCCGTTTGCTGCTGCTGCTTATCAAGGCAATGTAACGCACACATGGACACGCGCATACGCGTGCACACACGCGAGCAGCAGCGAAGATAAACGCACACAGAGACGCACCTAATTGCTGTTTACTCAGCGCGCAATTTTCTCTTCAACACTTTGTGCGAACGCCGGAGGAGGAGGGGGAGGGAGACGGCAAGGCAAGGAGCGGACCAGAGCGGACCAGAGCGGAGCGGGGGCTCTTCTCTCAGGAACATGGCTCCCCCAGGGCCATCATTCATTGCCCCGTGGCTCTCGCTCTCGCTCTCGCTCGCGTTGTTGTTTCTGCATATACCCTTGCCGACAGAGAGAGAGAGAGGGGGAGAGAGGGTATTACGATTGTGAAAAGATGTTTGTGGAGCAGCAGAAGAAGAGCTCAAAAGATACTGATTCCAGCCTAATAGCAATCCTAAAACCCCCGCCCATGGCCCTGCCCGGCAAGGGTATCAAAGGCTTCGAGTATCGACTCTCTCGCAAGCCATTCCTCTTTGTGTTCTTCTTTCTGCTCCATCAGCTGCAGTGCCACTAATCTCTCACTATCTCCTCTCCTATCGCCCGAGGCCATATTTCTCTCGTGGGTTCTTTATTTATTTTACCAAGAAACAAATACAAAATAGTATCATAAAAATTTAATTAACTTTTATGAACTCGGTAAATACATGGATGTCTAGTGTTGTGGGTTGTGGGTTGTGGGTGGGGTGTGGGGTGATGGGGGTGGCGGGTGAAGGAAAATGCACTTAAAGAACTGGAGAAACTAGAAAAACATTTCTGTATGCAGGTACATATGTATATTTGTATCTGTATTTATTCTCTTGTTTCTCGCTTTTTACGATTTTTCATTTGTTTTTCCATTTGTGTTTGCGCCTGTCAATGCCTGAGCAAATACAAATATACAAATATATTGCCCAATGTTTGCAAAACTTTAATTAATACCTCCAGAGAGAGAGAGGCACATACATTGTATATGCATATACATATGTATGTATAGAGATGTTTATCTATCGCTTGTTTGCTCAAAAACAAGCCACAGGGAGGCAGGGAGACAGGGGGACAGGGGGGACAGAGCGAGGGAGGAGAACAAGAAAGGGAAATGTAAGCAGAAATAATTGGCAATTTTCAATTTCAAATTGCGTGCAAATTTATTTTCATTTTTGCACCTGCGCTTCCGCCACTTCTCCACCTCCGCCTCCAGCGCCTCCTCCTCCTCCTACATCTCGATGTTTGCAATGCAAATATTTTTAGAAAGCAAAGGAAAGAAGGAGCTGGAGAGAGGGAGAGAGAGAGAGAAAGAGACCTCCCCTCCACTCTGGCAGGCGCAACTCTGTGTGCTCAAGATATTTGGTTGCTTCGTCGCACCTGCTCCCCACCGATAAGTAGGGGGGTGGGGGGCCGGGACAAAAAGAGAGCGGTGGGAGCCAAGCACTTGAAGTCGATCTAGAGATGGTGCAGAAAACTCCACTTCGAGCACGAGAAAAGCACGAAAATAGCACAGAATTGCACGGAATAGCACCGAATAGCACGGAATAGAAAGGAAAACAATAACGGATACTAAAAAACAAAGTATTCCATAGGCAATGCTATATGTACAAACCTCAGAATGTAATCTTCAGTCTTCCATTCGTACAAATGGTATTCCTGGAAGAGGTCTAGCTAGAAATCGAATACCAGGATGTTATACCTTCGAGATTCTCTGCGGGACTGTACCCTGAGCACACTGATAGTTGGCCGTATCTGCTGCCATCTCTAGCTCGAGCTCTGTGGAATCTATTTGCATTGCATTATGCTGGATATGGCGACACACACACACACACACTCACAGTGGGCCTGTCAAGGTGGCAAATATTATTTTACACATGTGTAAAATATAAATCATTCTATTGCAGCCAATTTGCACAAACGATTTGCTTTGACTGCCATTCTGTTGTGTCCGTCCGTCCGTCCGTCCGTCCGTCCGTGTATGCAAATTGTATTTATGTCTACACAAAACCCCAATGCTCCCCCATCCCCGTCCCCGAATCTAAGCCACTTTAATTGGCCAGACCAGGCCGTCTATTGTTTCAGCCGGTTGTTGTTGGTTTGCCTTTTTGGTAAACTTTTGATTTGTGCCTTTTGTAATTAGCCAACAAAATATTCAGAGGGAATATTCGAGAAATTCGAGAATATTCGAGAATATTTGTGCACAAGATTGGCTCGTTGGGGTTTTGTTGAATTTGTTGCTTCAAGAATGTTTATTTATGCAAGAGCTCGAGCTCTCTCCGGCTGCTGCTATCGTTTGTCCCTTTGTTATCGATCAAATCAAGCGATAGCATGCTATCGGCTAGTGCCAACAGCTGGTCACACTGTCTGCCTGTTTCGGTACTTTTTCGTTGTGCAACCGTGTCATGGCTACAGCCAGAGAGGGGGCTTCGGGCCTGCCATTGAATGTATCTAAAAATATAAACTATTATGAATAAATCTGCATTATTTTTGCCACAACATTTCCACCACATTTGATGTCAAAACCAGAGGGAAACTAGCTCAAGGCAAAAAGGTTTTCCAACTTTTAAGGCTTCACCCCCTCCAAGCCCCCCATCCCCCACCACCATGTGCATTTTAGCAAGAAAACTTTTAAGCATTCCATCCACATGGCGCCTCACATACCCGGCACTCGGATGTGCTGGTGGCCATGTGTCGCTATCGATTGACCTGCCCCTGCCTCTGCCCCTGCCCCGAGCAGTGTGGCAACTATTTTTACACTTTTCCACAAGAGAATGCATCCTTAGGATTTCCCTATCCCCCCGAACCCGAACCCAAAACAGAAACAAAACAAAAAACGGAAAAACAAAGCAACGACGACGAAGGGGCCACTCTTTTATGAACATAAATTTTGAAAGCCTTTAATGGGGAGTGCAACATATTTCAGTTCAGTTCCGAGCTGCAGCAGCGGCAGCAGCAGCGGCAGCAGCAGCGGCAGCCGCAGCTGTTGATGCAGCTATGAATTTTTGCAACATTTTGCAGTTGTTGTTGCTGTTGCACAAATAAATTGCACATAAATCGTGGGGCACATAAATTGTACATGTTGCCGGCGTGCAGACCGAAAAAACAAGTTGAAATTATGTGAACGAAGCGAGCATAATTTATGCGATCGGATGGGGTCTCTCCTGCACGAAGAAGAAGCAGAAGGAGGGGGGGGAGGAGGGGTGCAGCGGGCAGGCAATTAAAATATTTGCGCCAGCAGCAAATATTTCCTTAATTAAAAATATATTTTAAACTAATTGCAAGTCTGCCGCCTCGATAGAACGAACAGCAGAAGCGAGCTTGTGGCAGATATGGGCATAGAATAGGAGATATGTATATGGTGCATAATGGTTGCAGCTTGTGGCATCGACTAATCGGAGACTTTGTTTTTGTTATTTGATTACTTTCAGCAGTCACGCGCCCGCAAAACCTCCACCAAAGCAAACAAACTGAGTGCAGCCGCTGCATCAGCCACATCGCCCCGTCTAAGTCCATCGCCGGCAGCAACACTGTTGCCGCAGCAATCGCCAAATACCACAACAGCAACAGTTGCAGCCACCGGAGGTGTCGGAGGAGGTAGCTTGCAGCAGCAACACCAATCGCAACAGCAGCAGCAATACCAGCAGCAGCACCAGCAACTGTTGACACAGCAGCAACTTTTGTCGCAACAGCAACAGCAACAGCAGCAGCAGCAATATCCGCAGCAGCAGCAGCAGCACTTCCAGCAGCAGCAGCAGCAGCAGCAGCAACACTTGCAACAGCAACACGCACAGCAGCAGCAGCAGCAGCAGCATCAGTCGCAGCAGCAGCAACATTTGCCACAGCAGCAGCATCAGATAACCGCACAAATTCAAACCATGAAGGATCAACCGCAACAGCCAATGGTGAGTACATCCCACAAGCCCCCAAACTGCAGCTCCAGCTCCAGCTCCAGCTCCAATTCCAATTCCATTTCCATTGCGATTTCCCTTTCATTTAGCAATTAAAAACAGCAGCAACAGCAGCAACAGCGACCTTTGAACATTGACCTTCGGGCCATCATGTGCTGTTGCTAGTCAATCAGTTCCATTTCTGCTCTGTTCGGCTCTGTTCTGTTCTGTCCATTTCATTTGATTTCATTTCGTTTTCCGTTTGCAACCACCCAACAAAATACAAAATACAAAATACAAACCCATAAATTCTCTCGCCTCTGCCTGTGCCTGTGCCTGCGCCTGTGCCTGCCCCTGGCCCTGGCAGCGCATCGGTTTCGTGTGGACAACATTGCGTATACGTCACGTCACACAGCTGCAGCTGTGCAAACACACAAAAAACGCCCAGAACCAGACACCAGACACGCACACACACACACACACACACACAAGCCAACACCAACAAATATCTATAGATACTATGTATACTACAGACAGAGAGAGGTGGAGAGGGGGGGACAGACAGGGTCAGAGCGAGAGAGCGAGAGAGCGAGAGGGAGAGACAGGCAGAGATTCGTGCATTCATTCATAAAGATTTTTGTCGATTTTTATCAATGATTGCTAAATGCTTTTGCAAAATAAAGCCCCACAAAAATACAGACAAATTTCCAGTTGTATTTTCAGATAAATATATTTCCAGGAGGGGGCGGGGGGTTGGGGCAGGGGGACTCGAAGCAATTGAACTATTAACAATTTTGTTTGTATTTTAATTGTTGCATTTTATTTTGGCATTTTATTGTTGCCTCTCTCCGCCCTCCGCCCCCCCGCCTGTTGGGGCTTTCACTTTCATAACTTTTTCAGTGCCGTCGTAAAAATGCAAATGAAAACGGGTTGGGGATTGCGGGACTTCGGGATTGCGAGTTTGGGGGGGCCTCCGTCTCTCAGTCTGGGACTTGCTGCGGATTTCATTTTATTTCCTTCCGTGCAGGGGAGGCAGGCGGGGGAGGGGGCGCCGGTTTCCTGTGTTTTCGGAACAGCAACAAAAAAAGGAGCATTATTTAAGGCGCGTAATTAACAACAAACTGCGGGGGGAGCAACAATAAAACAAAACAATGTTATTCAGGGCGGAATGAGAATGTGGCCGTTGGGGTCCCCCCCTCCCCATAATTCGATGTTTGGTGGGCTAATTAGGGCAAACAAAATATGATTTATAACAGCCAATTGAGCCAACCGCCCACCGTCCACCTCTGCGGTTCGTGGCAGAGAAAATGTTTGCATATTTATGAATGGAAAAGCGAATGGATAGAGAGAGAGAGGAGCTGTAGTAAATTATGATATATTTGGATAATGAAAGAAGAATAATTCTAATCCCTTTCCCTTTTTTTTGTGGCTCTGCAGGCACCCATGGCCTTCTATCCCACATGGCAGGCGGATCCGTCGCAGGGCTGGCAGAACCAGTTCATACAGCAGATACCACAGAACAGCCCGGCCATCACATCGCTCAACTCGCTGGACTTCCAGACGCAGTCGTACGCCTACCCCTCGAACGGGTACGTGCAGACGGGCCTGGGCTTCGATCCGAACTACGGCCGGTCGCCGTACGCCGCCCCTGTCCAGCGGTACGACTTCCAGAGCCAGCAGCTCTCCACGGCCCCCTCGGCCATCAATCAGGTGGGGCTCCAGAGCGTCGCCGGGTTCGCGCCGGGCAGCGTCAGCTACGCCGGACAGGTGTCCACGGCCCCGGCCCCGCCCTCGTCCTCGGTGGGCGGAGTGGGTGGCCTGCAGCAGCAGCAGCAGACGCAACAGCAGTCCCAGCAGCAGCAGCAGCAGCACCTGGGCGCCGATCTGAACAAGACGATGTCGGGAAACGACACGCCTGGATATCCGCGGGTGAGCAGCGTGCCGCCGCGCTCACTCAACTGTAACGGGTATTCAGGCGACTACAGCGGTCCCCAGCAGCAGCAGCAGCAGCAACAACAGCAGCAGCAGCAGCAGCAACAACAACAGCAACAGCAACAACAATCACAGCAAGCGACGGCAGCGGGCGTCGGGGGCACCAGCACGCCCGCCCCCCCGGCCACAGTGGCCCAGCCCGCCTCGTCGCCCATGCAACCACTCCCCAATCAAGGCCAGCCCCTGGCAGTGCCCCAAAGTCCGACGCGGACCAGCCTCATCCAGCAGCAGCAGCAGCAACAGCCACGCCTGGTCTCCCAGTCGCCCACCGGCAACGGACTGCAGCCGTACGTGGCGCCCCAACAGCAGCAGCAGCAGCAGGGACACCTCTCCTCGCCGCCCATGCAGGACTGGAACTGGCAGCAGCAGCAGCAGCAACAGCAGCAGCAGCAACAGCAGCTGGGAGGCGAAGGCTATCCCCAGGGAGAGCGGGTGCACCTGAACACACGCATCAAGTCGATGATCATGAGGAAGAGCGATCCCAAGGATCCGCCGCCCGACCACCAGCTGCAGGGCGCAGTCTCAGCGGCAGCCGCCACCCAGCCGCAGAGCCAGAGCCAGCAGCAGCAGCACCAGCAGACCGGTCATTTTTTATCGTATAGCCACCACCTCCGGCCCGAGGCGGCGCTGAGCGCCAACGGACCGAGCAACGTGCCATCCCACCAGCAGCAGCAGCAACAGCAACAACAGCAGCAGCAGCAGGCGGCGGGACCGGGCGCTGCCGAGCCGATCGGAGGTGGTGGCGATCACATCTGGAAGCCGCACCACGCCCAGTCGTTTAAGAAGCCGACTGTGGCCGGGGGCGGCTATCCGGGAGCGGATGCCCAGCTGCAGCTGCAGCTGCAGCAGCACCAGCCAGGACAGCACACGACCATCAGCCACGCGGAGCTGCCGCCGCAGCAGCCGGTGGCCCATCCAGCGCCACTGCCGCTGGCCCAGGTCCCGCCGCCGCCTCCGCCTGTCGCACAGCCCAAGAAGTCGCGGAGTCGGAGCAAGGCGAGCCGGGCAGCGGCCGCAGCGGCAGCTGCCGCCGAGGCGGCAGCGGAGATTGACAGAGACAGGAATGCCACGGATCCGGGAGGTGGACTGAAGCCGGGCCTGGGCGCCCACTATCCGCACCCGCATCCGGCCGCCGGCCAGGAGTACCACGGCCAGTACATCAAGACGGAGCCGGGTCTGCCCCCGCCGCCAGGTGGTCCGCCCGGACAGCCCAACAAGATGGAGGGCTACGAGCGCAACTACCAGAACTTTATTCAGTACGCGGACTTCTGCCAGAACGACGGCCAGGGACAGCCGGTGCAGCAGCACGGACATGGCCATGGACACGGGCACGGCCACGGACACGGGCATGGGCATGGGCACGGGCAGCAGGAGTACGCCGGATACCATCACAATTCCGCGTACTATGGGGCCGGAGCGACCAGCTTCCAACAGAACTTCCAGCAGAACTTTGTGCCCGGCTACCAGCACTCGACGTACGGTGGCAGGGGCAAGCCCCCACCTGGAAACAATCCACACCATGGCCACGGACACGGGCACGGGCAGAGCATGCTGGAGCTGGACCGCAAGCCGGACACCAACAGCATCATTCCGCTGCCCACGAACTACGAGAAGGACATACCAGCCCACGCCTACCCCATTCCCCCGCATCGCTATGCCCTGACGCACGGGGCGCCACCGCATCTCAGTCACCACGGGATGCTGGAGCCGAAGCTGGAGGACATGGGGATGCTGGGCCACGGCCACGGCCATGGCGGAGGCGGCTACACCTATCTGGGCGACGGCAAGCCGCTGAACAATGGCTTCTCGTGCTGTCGCCAGGGCGGAACGCGTCCGCCCACGGCCGAGCATCTGAAGGACGGCACCTGCCTGGGTCTGGGCATCCAGCCCAAAGAGGAGCTCCTCGACGAGGACGAGCTGGTGGACGCCCACAACGGGATGAAGGGCGGCGCCGGGAAGGCAAAGGGAAAGCAGAAGCCGGACGAGATACCCGAGATCATTGTGAAGCACGAGAAGATCAATCCCCTGTTCGACACCACGGATCGCCTGGAGAAGGGCAACAAGACGGAGATACCCGAGTGCGAGTGCTTCCAGTCCGACAAGAATCCGCCCGAGCCGGGCACCTACTACACGCACCTTGGTGAGTCCAGTCTCCAGCATTCATTCTCTAGTCGGTAGTCGGTAGTCGGTCCCCAGAATCCAATCCCCAGAACAATATACACAGTCCTTGGCGGGGCGCAAAAGAGACTTAAGCCTTAACTAATCCGTTGGTTATTCTCCTCTAGGAACGGCCTCCTCCCTGATGGAGTTGCGGCGCGAGTTCGAGGATCGGTGTCAGCTCACGGGCCGGCAGTTGCGCATCGAGAAGATCGTCTACACCGGGAAGGAGGGCAAGACCTCGCAGGGCTGCCCCGTGGCGAAGTGGGTCATACGCAGGGCCGATCTCGAGGAGAAGATCCTGGTGGTGGTCAAGAAGCGACCGGGTCATAGGTAAGCCACCTCCTCACATCCGTGCCCAGACACCCCCTGACAAATGGCTGTTGTTTCCTCCTCCTCTCAGGTGCATAGCCGCCTACATTGTGGTCTGCATGGTGGCCTGGGACGGGATGCCGCGGCTGGAGGCAGACAACGCCTACAAGAACCTGATCCCCAAGCTCAACAAGTACGGCCTGCCCACGACGCGACGCTGTGCTACCAACGAGAACCGCACCTGTGCCTGCCAAGGTAAGGAGGCCCCTTGCTCCAGGGTTTGGGCATTCGCTTAATATGTTCTATACTTTCTATACGTCCAACGCAGGACTCGATCCGGAGACATCGGGTGCGTCGTATAGCTTCGGGTGCTCGTGGTCGATGTACTACAATGGCTGCAAGTACGCGCGGTCCAAGACGGTGCGCAAGTTCCGGCTGTCGGTGAAGAGCGAGGAGGCGGCCATCGAGGACCACATGAACCTGATAGCCACGCTCCTGGCGCCCGTCTTCAAGCAGGTCTGTCCGCGTTCCTACGACAATCAAACCAAGTACGAGGGAGAGGCCTCGGACTGCCGTCTCGGCCTGGAGCCCGGCAAGCCCTTCTCGGGCGTAACGGCCTGCCTCGACTTCTGCGCCCACTCGCATCGGGATCTGCATAATATGCAGGACGGGTGCACAGTCCATGTGGCCCTGCTGAAGCCCGGCAACCGGGACAGCCGCCTGCCCGACGACGAACAGTTCCACGTCCTGCCCCTCTACACGATGGACGGCACGGACGAGTTCGAGAGCATCGAGGGTCAGCGGGACAAGCACCGCACCGGAGCGGTGCAAATGCTGGACAAGTGAGTGTAGCGTTGAGTTTTGAGCAGCAGCTCCGCCTTCTGCCCCCCGACCACTGCTAACAGATCTATCCTTCTATCTCCAACCTTCCTCCCTGCGCCTCTCCCTCTAGATTCCCCTGCGAAGTACGCGTCCGATCCACGCCGCTGATCCCCTGCCGCCGCCACGGAAAGAAGCGCAAAGAGGGCGACGAGGCGGCTCCCCCGGACGGGGACCAAGACGCCGCCGGGGACGCCAACAGCCAGAGCAGCTCCAGCAACGGAGCAGGCCAGACGCAGACGCAGTCCCAGCAGAGCAGTCCGCCCGCCCTGGGCGGGGCGCACATCAAGAAGGAGAACGGAGCGGGAACGGGCGGCAATGCCAACGGCGGAGGAAGCGGCGCCAAGTCCAAGTCCAAAGCCAAGTCCAATCAGTCGAACAACTCCAGCGCTTCCACGCCGGGCTCGGCGCCCCCATCGACGCCCTCGCCCCGCTGCCAGACCCCAGTAACGAACAATCCCAGCCCGGCGGGCAGTGCCTTCAGCACTCCGCCCGTGCACGGCGCCAATCCGAACGCCAGCAACGGCGCGGGCGTGGGTCAGGTGGGTGCACCGCCTGGCGCTGCCGGCGCCGGGCAGCAGCAGCAACCCGGCCAGCTGATGAGCTCCAACTCGAGCCTGATGAACATGGCCACCATGATCGACACCTTCACGGACGCCCAGCTGCAGTCCAACCAGATCTCGAGCACCGTCCTGGACTCGCCCTACTCCTACGACTACCAGACGGGCTCCTACATCGATTCGCGCAACTACTACGGCAACTGGCCGGCGCCGCACGCCATGGGCATGGGCGCCCAGGCCGGACCTCCGGGATTGGGAGGAGGACCCCCCGGAGTAGCAGGTGTTCCGCCCCTCACTCCGAACACGCCCACGGCACAGCCCCAACTGACGGCGCAGCACCACAACACGGTGACGCCGCCCTCGGCCACGGCCGCGTCCACACTTTTGGCAGCGGGAGGAGGAGGAGCGCCTGCCACAGGGCCACCCCCGATCACGCCCACCACGACGGCCTCGCAGCACGATGCGACGAACGGCTATGTGCCAAGCTACAACAACCTGACCCCGACAGCGGTGACCCATCTGCCGGGCACGGGCACGGGTCCGGGTACGGACAGCCTGCAGCAGCAGCAGCACCAGCAGCAGCAGCAACAACAGCAGCAGCAGCAGCAGCAACAGCAGCAGCAGAGCGCCGTAACAGGAGTGGGAGGTGTGCCACCCGGAGTGGGCGTGGGAGTGGGAGGAGGAGGAGTCGGAGGCGTAGAGGGAGTGGAGCTGAAGGGCCGCATGATCAGCGAGGAGAACCCGGACTCGACGACCCTGGTGAACCACAGCCTAGTGGCCGAGAGTAAGTTAACCGCTTTGACAGCCATGCAACCCATGACTAATCTCGCACCACTCACCACCGTTGCCGCCGCCGCTGCCGCCGCCACCAACCACCATCCGCCGCACCACCATCCACACCACCCGCACCACCCGCACCATCCGCAAGAAGGATTCGTCAAGCCGAAGCCGCCGCCCAGCGACTACCAGTACACGGCGCAGTACGCCAACAACTACCAGATGTACCCGCCGCCGCCGCCGCCCCCGCACTCGGCGTACTCCGCCTACGATGCGTACCAGAACATGAACTACAACTACGGCTACCACCACCAGGCGTACTCGCCGTACGGCATGTACCCGCCGCAGCAGACGCCGCCGCCCACGCCGCCACCGCCGTCGCCCAACTGGAACGTGTACGGCCACCATCAGACAGCGTCCGGCTACGGAGCGGCGAATCCCGCCGCCGGAGGAGGCGGAACGCTGATAGCGTCGCACGGGGCCGTTGCGCCGACGATCGCAGGACTGCAGAAGCCCTCGATCACGGCGCCCGCACCTCTGCACCACCAACAGCAGCAGCAGCAGCAACAGCAGCATCAGCAGCAGCTGGCGGCCACGCCGCCGCAGACCATTCTGCCGGATCTCAACGGAGCTGTGGGCGCTGTCGGCCAGATGGGAACGCCCTCGGTGGAGCCGACAGTGGCCACGCCGTTGTCGGTGCCGCCGCCCGGCGACTCGACGGGCAGCGACGCCAATGGCGCGGGCTCGGGAGCAGGAGGCGGACTGGGTGGAACGGGAGGGGGTGGAAGCGGAGGGGGACCCGCGGGACCCACGGCGTCGCCAGTCAGCACCAACTCGAGCAAGATCGAGCCCATCGGCGAGGTGGCCGAGATCAATGAGAACATCGAGGCCTTCCAGGATCCCCAGATGGGGGGCGTGGCCATCGCGCTGAATCACGGCAGCGTCCTGATCGAGTGCGCCAAGCACGAGATGCACGCGACGACGGCCGTGCGGCGGCCAGACCGCCACCATCCGACGCGGATGACGCTGATCTTCTACCAGCACCGCAACCTGAATCGCTCCCGGCACGGCATCGACGAGTGGGAGGAGAAGATGCGGGTGAAGAAGATCAACACGGACCTCGACAACAAAGCCAAAGAGGAGCGCGAGCGTCTGCTGAAGAAGGCCGCCGGCGAGGACGACGACCTGGACCTGGACGACGCGATGCTGGGCCACGACGATCTGGCCCCCGTGCCGCCCTCCGCCATCAAGAAGGAGAACGGACAGCCGCTCAAGAACGGAGCCAGCGGCAGCAAGAAGAAGAAGAGCAGCGCCGACGCGAGCGCCAAGAAGTCACAGTCGAACGAACAGCAGCCAAAAAACGAGAAAGTTGCCCTCCACGCACCAACACTAACAACAACATCGTGGACGACCCTGTTTCCTATGCATCCTTGTGTGGTTACGGGGCCCTATCAGGAGGGCAATAGCAGTCCGACTTCGTCCACGAATGGCAGCGCCAACAACAGCGCCAGCGCCAATGGCAATGGGAATGGCCAGGGTGGCCAGGCTCCCACGCCAGGAGCGGGGCAGCAGCAGCAGCAGCCGCCGCCGCCGCAGCAGCAGCAGCAGACCTGAACCTGTCCGCCTATCAGCGGCTCGGCAGATCATTCTACTGGTGAACATCAGCAGCAACAGCATCAGCATCAGCAACAGCATCAGAATCATCCTCAGGAGCAGCACTCCCCGCAATGGCGGGAACCGAGTGCGGTTCTAGTTCCAGTTCCAGTTCCACTGCTGCCCCAAGCACCGCCGCTCTAATCTTAAGTCCCACACAATGACTGAAAATTCTCTCAAAGCTAAACCCAGTAAATTATTTTTGTATATGCGTCTGATTTCGTGTGCCATACGAGGAGAGGAGGAGGAGGAGGAGAGGAAGATCGGGAGATCGGGAGAGTAAGGAGTAAGGAGTAAGCAGCAGCAGGAGAAAGAATGCGAAAGAGAGTTGGCGCTGCCAGTCCACCATTCCACAGCACACACAAACACACACACACATACACACCCCAAGCTACACACTGGAAGAAAATCAACCACAAGAACATGCAGCTAGTTTAATAAATCTATCAACTTTAGTTTCTTAAGCCCGGCGAGAACAGCCGGCAGCCAGCAGCCAACAGCCGGCATCCACTTATGTTACGAGTAAATTAGTAGTTTTTTTTTTCTATGTTTAAAAGAATGAACGGAGAATGGAGTGAAGACGAAACGAAACTTAACGAAACAATCACACTACAAACAAACAAACAAACAAACTACAGAACAACAAAACGAATACTAAAGGAAAACAAAGTAAAACAAAACAAAACACACACTAAAACTAATAATAAAACAGCAAATGCTAATGAAACGTTGCTTGAGTTTCTCTTGCGAGCAGAAACAAAAGGAAAATACTAAGAGTTAGTGGAAGTTAAACAAAAAAAGATCATTGCCAAAAGTACAAATAAACAATTTTTTTAAAGCAACTAGAAAAACGTAAAGAATTTCGCAACACACACAAAAACAATATACATAGTTGGTAACAGAAACAGTTTTTACTAAAAAAAAAAGTTAAAGAAGAGAAGCCAAGTCGATGAACTACACTACACTACACCACACTATACTACACTACAAGAGAAAAAGAAAGAGTACAGCTCCACCCAAGTTCCCACAATTTGTCTGTCCCTTGGTGCTCGGGCTGCGTGGCCAGTGCCAATCGGATTCAAATTGCTCCAAAGACAAATGGGAGGCTGTTCCCCTTGCGGACGCTCAAGCAGAGCAGGCTTTCATTTGGACTGCTTGATTAACCGTTAACTCCAATCCACACACCGCACCCAAAGCAGAGGAGACAGCAGGGCCAGAGACGAAAGATCAGTTATTTTTTGAGCAGAGAGTGAGAGAGATATAGAGAGAAAGAGAGAGCGCGCGAGTGTGGGCGGCATTAAAGCTAAAGCTGAGGAAATGTAAGGCAGCAAGACATTTTTTTTGTAACTTTAATCGTAATTTAATCTTAGTATAAGCAAAATACACACACACACCCACACAAACACACGTGTCAGTTACATATATATTTATTGATATTGATGCGACCAAAAAAAAAAAACAATGATCGCAAAGCAAAAGGTTTTACTGTAGTTATTATGATTTTCCCAAGTGAGAGCTGTAAGTGTGGATGGTAAAGAAAGGCAAGAAAGGCGAGATTTCATTTCAAAGGCAAAAAGGAAACGTAAACGAAAACCCAAAAAGACTCGAAACCAATCAAGTATTAAGCACTAAACAACCAACAACAACAAAAACAACAACTACTATAAATTAACTAATTTTTTGCCTACTCATTTGTAATGTAATTGTTGTATCCATCCAAACAAACAAAACACAAAGACACAAAAAACAAAAAAACAAAAATTAGGATGAAATGAAGATGAAGATGGAAATGAAAATGAAAATGAAAATGTGGCAGCGCAACTGAATTTCAAATCAAATTAGTGTAGACACAACCCACATACATATACATACATATATTTTGCACAAAAAAAAAACAAACAAAAATGGTTATTGAAAATAATACGTACTTTACTTCTATAATTTGACGAACTAGTACTATAAGAACGGAAGCGGAAACGCAGACGGAGACGTAGACGGAAACGCCGACGGAGACGGAGACGGAAACCGAGAGTTGACGGAGAAGAGATCGTACTTTTGCATGTGGAATGTACGCGTAATGTAATGTAAATGTAAGGCAGCGAAGAAGACTTTTGAGCAACAAGAAAAAACATGTTTTGATAAATATTTAAATGTTTATAAAAATATATATATAGTATATATATATATTAACCGTAAATTATGATAATTGATTAACTGATTATGCGAGCCAACAACTATTATAGTTTGTAAATGCTTTTTTTTTTTTTAATTTTCAAATAAAAGCAAATCCTTTGCCATTTATTAAGTTACACACAAACAAACAAACACCATAGATCCTCGAAAGGCTTTTGAGTTTTGCGGGGCGCGCAGCACACATAGCTGCATATACATACACCAGTATATACACACCCATATATACTATAAATATTGGCATATGATAAAGCAGAAAAACAATTAACACTGAAGCATAGGTAATAAGCGAGTATAGAACAGAAGAGGACGGAACATAACATAAAAAAACAGAACAGAACAGAACAGAGCAGAACAAAGATAAGGCACGGCGCACCGCTCGCCCGGTGCAAATGTCAGAGAAGAAGATACATACATGAATACATATTGTAAGACGATACACAATACGCGACGACTCTGATAACCGTATATTGTATACCGTATACAGCATATACAGAATGTGAAGAAGTTACGGTGGAGAGAGGAGAGGAGCAGTAGGAGGAAACATAAATTATATTTATTTAAAGTACGCGTATTGAAAGCAAACAGATATTAATATTAAATAAAACGAAAACAAAGTTACACTCGCTCATGTGCATTTTTCTTGTCCTACTGTCATACTGAATTTAAAGAGTTTTGGCAGCCACGTGAACACAATCCTCGTATAGGTACGGTACGAGTGTATGTACATATATGTATGTTGTATGTATATTTTTGTATATTGTATATATAGTCTCGTTTAATGCAGCATTGGAATGTGCGCTTAAGTCGTAGTAAATTGGCCAATTATCTTACAACCTACTTCATATATGTATGTATATATAGTATGTTTGTATATATAGATTAGCCTAGGTATTTACATCGAACTGTTAAGTACATGGCAAGTGGGAGTTGAGTCAATCAATCCAGATTCAGGACGAGATCCTTGTCGTAGTTGTCTAGTGCCGTCTTATTAAAGGAGCCAAAGTTCCACTTCATGAACGTATTACTGGTGTTGCACTTGTTCACCACCAGCTCCTGGGCGAAGGGCAGCAGCTCCAGACACCGCCTCCCATCCCGGCCGTGCTTGATGGTTTGTGTGTGGTAGTCGTAGGACCAATATTGATTTCCCCCCTGCAAATGGCAATCCCAGAGCCAGACGGGCGCATTCACAGTCCAAATCTGGACGTCCAGGCATTCCTTCTTACGACGCAGCCGCAAGTCGCGCTTCCAACTGAGCTCCCAGAACTGTGTCTTTTGTGGCACTTTAAGGTCCTCAGCGCAGGCATACACGCCCATCCGTTTGTGTTTTCGCCGTCCCATCGTATCTATGCATAGGCGCTTATCGCCGACATTCTGTATGGCACCGAGCGCAAAGGTGGGCGGATCTACGGGCGGATAGCTGTTGATCAGGTCAAATGCCACCTCTTCCATGAACCACTTGAAGGATTTGCACTTTAGCTTTTTGCGTATCGCCATTTGTTCCGTCAGATCTCCGGCATCGATGCGGTCGTAGATGCCGTCAGCATGGTCGTACAGGTAGTTCTTGTACTCATCCATCCAGACTTCGGCCACTCGCTTGTAGTTCTGCAACGGAAGGCCCCGATGAGATTTAATACCATTATAAACAGATTCCACTTACTCTATGCAGGTAATCACCCTTTCGGGGACTGGGTACGTGATTGCGAGGGCCACGATAGATGTGCCCAATGCGGGAGCAGGGTGCGTCGTACATTTCGCCGCCGCACATCCAGATCTTGAAGCTCAGCTCGTACTGTTCGCCGCCCCAGATGTCCAGGCCCTCGTCGTAGCCGCCAAGTTCCCAGAAGAACTCCCTGGATATGGCAAAAAGGCCTCCGGCCATGACGGGACTCTTGAAGGGATCGGCGGGATACTTTAGATCCTCATCCAGCAACGGCAGTCGCTTGTAGTAGAACTCCCAGTCAAAGGCACCGCGTGCACCCTCGTCCTGGGCGCGATAGTTGAAGGTGGCGTGGTCGATGACATCGATGAAGGGACAGACAGCTGTGCGCTTGTTTTTGGCAATCGGCTCCAGTAGCGGTGGCAGCCAATTGTAGTTGGCCTCCACGTGTGAGTCGAGGAAGAGGAGCACTTCCGCGGTTGCGTTTCGTGCCCCGGCCGAACGCGCTCCAATGAGGCCCGTGCGATTGGGCAAACGCACCACACGAACGATTTTACTGAAGTGCTCCTTTATGTAGAGCTCCAGCTCTGCGTGCAGATAGTCGCGGTCACTGAAGTCGTCCACCAAAATTATCTCCTTGAGCAGCTCTTTGGGCGATCTATTGATCAGACTGTGGACGGAGCGCATCAGAACGCTCAGATACTCGTTATAGAAAATGATGATAACGCTGACAGTAGGCAGGTTGGCCAGGTAGTCCTTCTGGCGGCAGCTATAAGGACATTACTTGGTTAGTGATGTGATGGGTGGACCTTTACTGCTTTTACTTTACTTACAGTTTGTGGCGAATGTCGGGGAGCGAGCGGTTAACAGATATGGAGTCGGAGAGCAGAGCATTGAAGCCGTTCTCCAAGGACATTCTACGCTCCTGCTCTAGCGTCGCCTCATCCTCCAGTTTGGCCGCCTTGCCCCCTTCCCCGATACCAACGCGCAAAGTATCTTTATCCATCGCCGCGTAGTCGTGCCAATCTTTTACGACGTTCTGCTGGTCATGTGGCTTCAGGTGCATCTCTTGCTCAGGCTGCTGGCCATATTCGTCGTTCTTTGGCCGCATCCGTTTGGGTTTTTCGTCAGGATAATCTGATTCGGGGTCAAGTTCTTTTTCGGCTCCTGCTTCTAGTTCCGCCTGTTGTCGGGGCTTAAGCGCTTCGACATGAATGGGCTGAATACGTTCTACTGAATCTTCGTTCACAGCGGCGGCCTTTTGACCCAAAAGCGCTGCCTTCTCGGGCTGAGGCTCGACGCCGTGATGAACTGGCCGGTTGGTGTAGGGGCTCGAAGATATCCAGCTGGTAATGAGCACCAGCAGGGTGAGCGATATCAGCAGCACCAGGATGGACTTGACCATCCACTTGAAGTTGGGCCTCCGCATTCTGGCTCCTTGGATCCTCCTTCCTGTCACTGCATACGCCGTGTACGTGTCAGGGCGGTGGCTTCAACGGCATAGGCAGCCACGCTACGCTGGCGTACGGCGCGGCACGGCACGGCAGTTGTTGGCGTGTGTTAGCTCAGGTGTTGGCTGGAGCGGCCGATGCAGCTAGATGTGGTACCGTCGTCAAGAGCAAACTGAAACGTGGGCGACAGACCTGACAACGACTGGCTGCAAAGACAAACTAGAAACAGACACATAGTCATGTACAAGAACGTATATATAAATAATTATATCTTTGGCGAGGGATCCGAGCAACTACACATTCAACACGAGTCGCCGATAAGCGCGCTCTGCTTGTTCTTGTTGTTGCTGTTACTTAGGCAGTAGCTTGTCGCCGCTTGCAAAGGCATTTTTACCAAATTGAAACTAAAGTTGAGATAAAAGCAGTGCAGAGCACTCGAGGAACTTCCGGCGACGGTCCAAATTTACCGAATGCGTAGCAATCAGCACTTACCTCGTACGATATCAAATACACGTAATGATATATGTTATAGTTTGTAAACTTGGTAATAATTTTAAATTTTTAATATTTCGAAACTTCGAAAAATCAAAATTTTATAGTAACAAACTTATACTAAACGGAAAACTTAATTTGAATAACAAACAAAGTGTCGTTGACGTCCACGTCCACGAAAGTTCACAAACAAACATCAGCTGTTATTTCTACATGCTAACTACACGGTACGTACACATTTTCTACACATAAACAACATATTTATAGAGTATAGAATTTTTTATACCCTATTTCCTTGAATTTATGTTACAATTCTGTTTTCAAAGCTGCTTCGGCCCCTAATTAATAGCCATTTTGTCTCGCGTTGACATATTTTTGACATATTAATGCATTTAATTAGATTCCTGCATATTCTCGGTATTAGTAAAATGACCATAATCTGCAAAATTTCATTGAAATATCTTTAAAATTGAACAGACCTTCTTTACATATCTACTAAATGTACAAATAAGTCATAAAATCGGTCTTTGCATCCAGGTGCCTGCATCGAAAAATATTGAAACGTTTTATCACCCTTGTTAACCATACCATGCATGTAAGATGGAAGCCACCCCTTTCGACTAACATACCATGAAGGCTAATTAAATGTCCGTCCTCATAGCATATTGTTGCTCAAACTCGGCGAGGTGAGGTTCGTACATAGCTTAGCCCACTTAACCCCCTATATTGAAACAGACGAACAACTTGAATTAAGCCGCGGAAAATAATACTGTTTGTAAACTCTTCTTGTAGACCCATCCTATCCTCCCACGGTAAAATCAAACCACCCCACGATATCTTTTACATCTTTATTTCAACAAAGGTTGCTTTATTGCCAATTGGTTAATTCTTACTGCGTCGGAACATTCAACATCTTCATTACCTCCTCCTTGTACTTGGCCAAGTTGTACTCATTCTCGCCCTCGTTTATTAGTTGCTCCACGCTCTGCGCATAGCTGGCACTGGGAGACTTTTTCTGTGCATTTTCCGCGGCATTCCAATTGAGGATGGCCTCCGTGGAGCGCTTGGCCTGGTTCCGCTCGAACAGATACACCTCCATGTCAGTCTCGGACTTGGTCGCCTCCCAGGGCTCTGTGATGAAGGACTCGTGGTAACAGGCCGTGAGCAAATACAGGGCGTAGTCATAGTTCTGCTTTCGCAGCGGACAGCGATCGGTCACAAATGTGAGCACGTCCGTCTCCTTGTTGTAACGCTCCCCCACGAGACGCAGGAACTTGTCTCTTGCATGGTCGTCAAACTTCAGATCGGACAGCTTTAACGAGACGGTGACGCGCCGTGCCTCTGGATTGCGAACCGTGGGCAGACTTTGACAGTAGTCTGTGGTGATGACTTCTAGGGGAAAGTGGCTCCTCCACTTGGCATTGGTCTCCAGACCCTTCGGCCAGGGCGTGCAGAATTTCTTAATGGCCTCGCACTGCTGACGAATCGCCGGAGGCGTCAAATGCAGAAAATTTGGAATTTTCATCAGCTCCGCATTGGCAAACTTGGAGGGCGCCGCTGCACCGCGCTCCGTGAAGCCCTGTCGCAGTGGCAACGGCACACTGGCAGGATGGAAGGAACGCGGACCTGGCCAGGCCGCCGTCCAGTCCTGATCGACAGCCATGCGTGTGGTTCGGGGCGGTGTAACATCATCCCTTTTGATGTCCCTCCTCCTCTGGAACTGCTGCTTAACTGGACGCAGGTTCAGCACACGGAACTCTGCGAAAAGGTTAGTGAAAAGCATAATTATTATTACTATGGAGTAAGCAAATAGTTGCTTACCCTCATCGTCCTCCACTTCTGGCTGCGGCTGTTGCTGGTTACTGTTGCTGAAAAGACGCACACTGCTCAGCGCCGCGTGCGTGGTTCGTTGGCTGCGCTCCAAGAAACGCGTCAAGCTGGCCGCCATGTGGTTTGCTTTCGTTTAATTACAACTTTTTATTGAAAAAATGATCAATTATTGCGGCTTTTACGTAAACACCAGTGTGTGTACCGAATACGTCACAAATTTCAAAATATACCGTAAATATACTGACGATTCATTTGTATTCAAAATGCATCATATTCCTGATTTTTTATATTCGGTTCAATATTACCAGCCAGCTAAGACCCTCAGCTCTAAGCTCATCGTTTTATCCGATTATTAAATTAATTTCCTACAAGACTGGTTGAATTTAAGTTTTCATCTTTATTGCATTGCTTATAAAATAAGGTTTAAGCAAAAACAGTCACCAACAAATTTCATAAAATAAATCACATTACATGGTAACTACACGCTAAATACATTTGTATGTAATTACCAAAAGCTACACCTACTTTTGCCCGACTTTTTTCATATAAGCCCCATGGAAGCGCCAGTGTGAAAAACCTCCGTTTTTCACCTTTGTACATGCCTTTTTTCCAAAATAATGAACAAATTGAGATTTTTATGGCTGTAAGTGACGTTTCTACACAATTTCTACATTGGTGCATTAAACAAGAGGGAGAGTAAATAACGCGTCTTCAAAAATACTGGAAAATACTATGAAATATATACAATTGGCAAGGTGTGTGAGCTAGAAATGATAATTGGCAAGAGTGGGGGCACACTAACCATACAATACACCGAACATGTCGCAAACGAACTTTCTTGATTACATCCCAGGGTCTTCGGGTCTGGCTATCGGCTACCGCCACGCTCCCAATAAAGATTACGAATTGTAAATATATTTCTCCGGAAGGGCGGCCTGAGGCTTTCCCGTGTCCTGCGCTGCTCTGTTGATGTTCCCACTTAAATCAGTTGGCGCACGCGCCCTTTTTTTATTTTTGTATCCTCCAGCTCTATTGGCCGAGACGCTTTCTGGCCACAAACTGCTCTGTCGCGATCCCCTTCTCTTACCTCGCCAGGTACAGTTATTAAGCTATTATTTATTAATTTACTCTATTTACCTCTTCCTTTCATTTTAGCAGGTCGCCTCCACCGGTGGCCAGGAAGACCCTTTGCATGCCAGCGGACTCCGATATGCCCACCATCGCTTACGAAAAGCTTCACCCTTCTGATCTTCCGGCTCATATAAGCGAGTGTGCGCTTGATGACGGCTGTCAAGTCCAGGCGCCTGACCGGCTGACATCGCGATCCTGGGAAAGTAAGTCCTTCACCGATCTGACCCTATTTGTCCGAGATATAGCCTTCCGAAGATTTGCATGTCATTAAGATACTGGTTTTTTCTTCAAGTTATAGACTGCTAAACGGCAGCCGATCTGGGACCGTGATCGGGAGAGTCCTGCCAATCGACTGCCATCAGAAAAAGGGACATCAATTTGTTCACGATTTTCGCAAAAAATCATGATGGTTTCATCATTAAATTTGCCAAAAATCGGCCTCATTTTCGTAGTCGAGATTTTGATGCCGTTCGACAGTCTGGATCCTCACGGTCCTGGGAAAGTGGGTCCTTCCCTGATCTGGCCCTATTTGACTAAGATATAGCCCTCGGAATATGTGGTTTTGTATAGTTTTAGAACACTGGTCTTTTCTGAACGCTATATCTCTGCAATACGGCAGCCGATCTGGGAGCGGCATGTCTCTCCGTGATCGGGAGAGTCCTGCCAATCGACTGCCATCAGAAAAAGGGACATCAATTTGTTCACGATTTTCGCAAAAATCATGATGGTTACATCATTAAATTTGCCAAAAATCGGCCTCATTTTCGAAGTCGAGATTTTGATGCCGTTCGACAGTCTGGATCCTCGCGATCCTGGGAGACTAGGTCCTTCACCGATCGGGCCCTTTTTATCTGAGATATAGCCTTACGAAGATTGACATATCATGAAAATACTGGTTTCTTGTGCACGCTATATCTCTGCAATACGGCAGCCGATCTGGGAGCGGCACGTCTCTCCGTGATCGGGAGAGTCCTGCCAATCGACTACCATCAGAAAAAGGGACATCAATTTGTTCACGATTTTCGCAAAAATCATGATGGTTACATCATTAAATTTGCCAAAAATCGGGCTCATTTTCGAAGTCGAGATTTTGATGCCGTTCGACAGTCTGGATCCTCACGGTCCTGGGAAAGTGGGTCCTTCACCGATCGGGCCCTTTTTATCTGAGATATAGCACGCTATATCTCTGCAATACGGCAGCCGATCTGGGAGCGGCACATCTCTCCGTGATCGGGAGAGTCCTGCCAATCGACTACCATCAGAAAAAGGGACATCAATTTGTTCACGATTTTCGCAAAAAATCATGATGGTTACATCATTAAATTTGCCAAAAATCGGCCTCATTTTCGAAGTCGAGATTTTGATGCCGTTCGACAGTCTGGATCCTCGCGATCCTGGGAGACTAGGTCCTTCACAGATCGGGCCCTTTTTATCTGAGATATAGCACGCTATATCTCTGCAATACGGCAGCCGATCTGGGAGCGGCACATCTCTCCGTGATCGGGAGAGTCCTGCCAATCGACTACCATCAGAAAAAGGGACATCAATTTGTTCACGATTTTCGCAAAAAATCATGATGGTTACATCATTAAATTTGCCAAAAATCGGCCTCATTTTCGTAGTCGAGATTTTGATGCCGTTCGACAGTCTGGATCCTCACGGTCCTGGGAAAGTGGGTCCTTCCCTGATCTGGCCCTATTTGACTAAGATATAGCCCTCGGAATATGTGGTTTTGTATAGTTTTAGAACACTGGTCTTTTCTGAACGCTATATCTCTGCAATACGGCAGCCGATCTGGGAGCGGCATGTCTCTCCGTGATCGGGAGAGTCCTGCCAATCGACTGCCATCAGAAAAAGGGACATCAATTTGTTCACGATTTTCGCAAAAATCATGATGGTTACATCATTAAATTTGCCAAAAATCGGCCTCATTTTCGAAGTCGAGATTTTGATGCCGTTCGACAGTCTGGATCCTCGCGATCCTGGGAGACTAGGTCCTTCACCGATCGGGCCCTTTTTATCTGAGATATAGCCTTACGAAGATTGACATATCATGAAAATACTGGTTTCTTGTGCACGCT